CCATCCATCATCCATCCATCCATCCATCCATCCATCATCCATCCATCCATCCATCCATCCACCCATCATCCATCCATCATCCACCCATCCATCCATCATCCACCCATCCACCCATCATCCATCCATCATCCATCCATCATCCATCCATCCACCCATCCATCTATCCATCCATCCATCATCCATCCATCCTCCATCCATCCATCCATCCATCCATCCATCCACCCATCATCCATCATCCATCCATCCATCCATCCATCCACCCATCCACCCATCCATCCACCCATCCATCCATCCATCCATCCATCCATCCATCCATCCATCAGTAACTAGGCTCTGGTTGGGTCAATAAATAGAAATGGAAAACACAAACAGAGACAAAACAAACTAAGTAAAGCTGTCTGTAGACTGGACTTCTCCTGACCATACTGCACATGTCATGATGAGAAACATCACTAAAAACATCAGGTTGTTATCTTCAGGTGTTCCTCAGATGTTCTCGTTCAAACAATCTCAAACTTCAATGTGAGAAAAAACCTCAGTGAAAATGGGTCAACTTTTAAAAATACACTCTGACAGTGTTTGTTATATGGAAGCAGGACACATCACAGAGTGTTCAGAGCCAATCAGAGCTGGTGGAGAACAGCCCTGGTCACTTCAGATGGAATCACTGGATGGAAGGAACCTGACCAGTTATCTCCAGGTGTTTATTCTGGCTTCTGACCACCATCTTATACTCTAAATGGATGCCCAGAGGTCCACCACCTCTACGTAGGTACGGCTGCCGTCACAGCTGGAAGACGGACGGTGTGTAAGTCATACGTGTAGGTGTCCACATGCTGCACAAAGCACACATGTATGAAGGCCTCAGAGGACTCCTGGCGCTCAGCTCAGCCCCTCCACAGATAAGTGACAGCTCTGAGGAGCGCAGCGGCCTGCAAAGTTAAATATTTGTCTGTGGTGGAATCATTGTGTCACTGGGAGTTTTGGGCAGTGCCGGTTGAGGACGTCACATCTAATAGCGTGGAGTGTCATGACGGGCCGTGGTGCCGAGCGGCGGTGAGGAAACATCACCTCTGGCTCCAGACAGGCCGTTCAGACACACTCATGCCTCGGTGTAATGCACCAGACTCGGTCTACTTCACTGCGTCCAGCCCTCCTCACGGCTCGGCTCGCCGATCGCTTCCACCCACAGCGCAGGGACCGAGGCGCAGGTCATCAGGTCAAATCATTCTGAAAAGATCCGTCAAAACCCAAAACGTTGTTGTTGTCTCGTCTCCGTGTCGGCTCAGCAGAACTCTGTATGTGTCTCAGCCTCTCTCTGCTTACTTCATGTACAGCTCAGGACATGACTCTGACTCACTCATTTTTGGTCCTTTGGTTCCTGCTGTCTGTTTATGTGCATGTTAGCGCTACGTATTTAATGTAAAGTTAAACCATCCTTCTGTGTAAACATCTCATGTTCCAACGTGGACACCTGCAGCTTAGAGACCAGTGCAGCCTGTATATGTACACACCTGGTTTACTGTTTAAAGTTAGTGGGTGGGGCTTATATTCAGGTGCTCAGTAGTTTGGACATTACGGTAGAGAAAACCTGTGATGTGGTTTGTTCCTCCTGCTGCCAAGAAGGGTGTCGATGAGGAGATGTTCTCCTCATGAAGTACCAGTGGAGACTGATGACTAACCAGCTTTCTTATCGTGTACTCTGAAGCATGTTGTTCTCATCGAGGACACTAAAGCGTTTCATCTATTTTACAAGTTTTCCGGTAGCAAAGCCAGAAACTTGGTTGTAACATCAAAAGAACATCCCAGTGAGTGAAACAAAACAAAATGCAGCAGTGAGAACGTGAAGCCACCATGTCTGAAGCCGTTTGGAGCTCTGAATGTGAGGACTTCCTGCTGTTCTTCTGTTTTTGGGCTGTAGGTCAGACACAAGACCTCTAAAGGCCTTAATGGAGGAACTGGCAGCAGCTGCTGAGGGATTTTTACCATTTTATACACAAAATAATTAACCAATGACTAAAAAAATGACCTGCAGATAGACTGCTAAGAAACATAATAGTTTCATATCCAACAGTGAATATTTTACATTTCATAACTCTTCATCTCCGACATCCTCGTACCACAGCTTACTTTACTCAGAGCTTATTAACTACACAAGTTACCTTCTCATAGGGGTTTGTGTGCAGGAAGGTGAGCTCCTCCCATCTGCAGCGACTCCACGTAGGCCAGAGCGCTCTGCATGGAGGTCAGGCAGTAGCCCTCCTCTCCTATCAAGTAGCTGGAAGACAGAAGTCACGTGTTAGTCGGTTAAAAGACAGCACGGTGACTGGATCCTGCGTTTATCTGAAGCTACGACGAGTCAAACTGGGACACGAACAGGACTGAGGATGACGAGGCAGGACCGACCACAATCATCCCAAACATCCTGCACAGGACGGAGCTCCACTTTATTCATCTTGCTTCGTCGCCACTGCAGCATTTCCCACCGTGAGTAAAAACCAAACATGAGCCCATCACGCTCTCTGCCTTCTTAGAGCTCCTGAACACATGTAACAGCAGAGATCAGACACGTCACGGGTCTGAAGTCTGACAGAAGCTGCTCCACCTCTGCACATCAACAGATCCATGCTACATTTCACTCTAAAGTCTGCTAACTGCAGGAAAAGCACAGCTGCAGGTCTTTCAAGTGCTTTTAATCTGATACAAGAACAGAAAAGATGACTTGAACAGACTGCAGCGTTAGAGCAGTTTGTGTCTGGACCCTGTCTAACTGTCCTATCTCTATATTGAATCAGACCGCTGACCACTCGGCCTCTCAGCCTCGTGGCCTCCACTGCCTCCACGTCTCCTTTTACTTGAACACTTCCAACCCGCTGAACTGCATAAACATAAAGTGGGACTTTATTTGCATTTTTATAGATGAGGCAAACCAAATATCCTGACATTCCTTGGCCTCGGCTGATCTAACCAGCTGGCTTTTACAACCCTCTGTTTTTATGGCCACGAGTAGACCTCTGGGGTGTGGTCTGAGCTCACACGCTACCATAAGTATGATGTACGGCGGCCCGAGACCACCGGCCCTCCCCAGCGGTCCTGCTGCACTGCTTATCGGAGCTGTGGCTGAGCTGGGTCCAAGTGTTGTGCAGCGTCAGCATCACAACCTAACTAACTACAGCTAACTATAGCCAACTACAGCTAACTACAGTCAACTACAGCTAACTACAGCCAACTACAGCCAATTACGGCTAACCACCGCTAACCACGGCCAACCGTGGCTCACTACGGCTAACTACAGCTAACTACAGCCAACTACAGCTAACTACGGCTAACTATGGCCAACTACGGCTAACCACCGCTAACCACGGCCAACTGCGGCTCACTACGGCTAACTACTGCTAACTACAGCCAACTGCAGCTAACTACAGCTAACTACAGCTAACTATAGCCAACTACAGCCAACTACAGCTAACTACAGATAACTACGGCTAACTACAGCCAACTACGGCTAACCATGGCCAACCACGGCTCACTACGGCTAACTACGGCTAACTAAGGCTAACTACAGCTAACTAAGGCCAACCACGGCTAACCACGGCCAACTACGCCTCACTACGGCTAATTACAGCTAACTACGGCCAACCACGGCTCACCACAGCTAACTACAGCTAACTACGGCTAACTACGGCTACCTACGGCTAACTACAGCTAACTACGGCTACCTACGGCTAACTACGGCTACCTACGGCTAACTAAGGCTAACTACGGCTAACTACAGCTAACTACAGCTAACTACGGCTAGCTACGGCTAACTAAGGCTAACTAAGGCCAACCACGGCCAACCACGGCTCACTACAGCTAACTACGGCTACGTACGGCTAACTAAGGCTAACTACGGCTAACTACAGCTAACTACGGCTAACTACGGCTAATTAAGGCTAACTAAGGCCAACCACGGCTCACTACAGCTAACTACGGCTACGTACGGCTAACTAAGGCTAACTACGGCTAACTACTGCTAACTACGGCTAACTAAAGCCCTATTCATGGGGCGCCCGCTCAGCTAGGTGAGCTACAGGGACACCCTAATAATGATGACTTTGAAATCAAACACAAAACTTCCGCAGTTGCTGTATTTGTTGGGTCCAACCCAGAGTATTGGGGTACAAGCGGCGGGACAACACTGTGAGTTCGTCTGCAGCCAGCGGCTCTTCTCCGTGACGGTGACTCACCCTTCGTGAATGAACTCCTCCAGAGCAGCACATTCAGACACCAGCTGAGGACACTGACAGCGCAGAGCCACGAAGGACAGGATGGGCAGCAGGTCATCGGCACCGCTGCAGGACCCGGCGGGGAGGGAGGAGGCGGTGGGACCGAGTGAAAGAGGAAAACACAAGTAAATAAATAAATAGAGCTGGAGAGAAACAACACAGAGAGTGACATGTACAGAGCAGGCTGGCCCCAGGAGGACTGAATGGAAACGGGATGAAATGTAGCTCCTGATGGGACGTGTGCTCAGGGATGGAAATGATAAAGCTTTTTTTCTCTGCCTGGGATCTGTTGGGAGGACAAATTGCAGCCTGGGAGATGATGACAGCCCGATAGCATTTTCCCTGTGTGCAGACAGTGACCGTTTGTTTATCAGCGCTCACACGCAGGGCCAAGCGCCGGCCCGCTAGCTCGCGTGAGAAGGTGGGTTTGCTGGCCCTGGACTGACCCGGCTGCATGCAACTGGATACTCCCCTCCTGCAGGTTCTGGAAGGTGTGGACAAGCTCATGTAACCGCTGAGAGCAGGACCTCACATACTCACACAACCCTGAGTTATAATCTCCACTACTGTAAACACACACATCGATCTCTCACACGAAAACTGGTGTCTCTGCATTCCAGGGATACAACACTGTCCGGCCACATGCATAAATACTGAATCCACCGGGGAGATCAGGGCGCCGTTCTGGGCTCTGCAATGCATCGCGGTCGAGTGGAGGATAAAACAAGTCAAAAAAACAGCAGAAACGGGCAGGAAGTGTCTTAATTAATAAGATACAGAGGAAAAATGGCAGCTGATTGAGCAGCACAATAGAGCAGAGAACAGAAAGGGGGAAGTGGACAAAAGCACAGGAGAGAACAAATGAGCTCCCGGATGGTCACGGACAAAGAGCTGATGTAAATGGACAAAAAGAGGGCAACAAGTACAATAAAGAGTGTTTGTGCGTGTGAAGCTGTGCATTAAAAACAAAGGGTGAGAGCGCAGCCACAGGAACCAGCAGAGACGTGAACAGGCAGCGTAAGGACGACGCAGACGCCTCCTCGGTCCTGATCAGTGATGAATCCACGTCCAGAGCCCGTCGTGATCAGAAACACTGTCCTGTGAGTCACAGCGACACACACACACACACACAGGGAACCTGCATTTAGATGGATAAGAAAAGCAGCCACACATGGGCCTGAACTGAGCCGCAATCAGGACACAGAACCAAGTATGCTCTGGCAGGCCAGAGGCAGGAAGGCCAGCGCTACCTCCTCTACAAGCCGGGAATTAAATTCAAAAGGGCTAAACTCCACATCTGATCTCTGAGGACATGGAGGCTGCTCGGGTTTACAGCTGCTGGTGGCCACTGGCTCTACTTCAACACTGTAAAAATAAAATGCACATGGATGAGCTCCAAGTGCCCGTTCTGTCTGTCAGAAAGGAGTCACGCTGGTTTGATCCACAGAGTCTTTCTTCATATTCATGCCAAGCTGCACTGACGTTATTAAAGATGATTACAGAGAAGATGTCAGCCTTGTTCAGCTCTAATAGCTGCACCATAATTAAAACAAGAAATGTTTGTGATTGTAGTTTTTCTGCGGTACATAAAAATACAGAAATGTTTACCAGATGGCTTGAGACACTGCGTCTGGAAAGACTGGATCATTCTGTCAGTGACTGATTCTGTGGAGTGCATCTGCACAAAGCAACAAATCATTAAAAAAGTGAAAATGAAGATTCTTTGGAGACCCTCTCTCATCTGGTGTAACATCAGGTCGGTCTTTGAACTCATCACACAGCTTTGTGGTGCTGCTCCAAATGCTCACACAGATGAGCTGTGTTGTCTTCTGTAGAGGAACATATGGTCAGTCAGCAGGTGGCTGTGCACAGACAAGCCTCTGGTCTGCACTCGGGTAGCGGTCAGTCAGGAAACCACAGACTGGAGACTCGAACATTCCTGCTACGCATCTCCTAAAACATAAATAAACTTCTACCCTAAACACCTGAATTGTTGAACATCTGTTTATCAAGAGACACTATGATTTACACGCGTTCCCTAAACGCCTCACATGCACTGTGCACAGAGAAGCCTCTGGTCTCCACTCAGGGACATTCAGACAAACCACAGGTCTGTTTAAGACAGTATAATAAGGCGCTAATGTCAGATTTATCCACGTCTGCTTCATGTAACTGGAGTGTTTTAGGCATCAAGATCATTAGTTTCTATCAGACACACTCTATCAGAACCATGAGAGTTTTCTTGTTGCATCTAGCAGCGACGTTATTTTCCTTCTTCCCGTTGCTCTACCTGCAGCGTGACTCCTGCAGACAGTGTTGATGCTAAAACAACACACTGTGCAGCTCTGGTTCTGACCCACAGATTTGTTTTTATTCCTGTTAAGCTGCACAGACTTTAACCAAAAGCTCGCTACAGAGGAGATGTCAGACGTGTTCAGTCTCTGAGACATGAAACAATCCCTGATTCAGATCCTTTTGTGCGCTGACTCACGTCTCCAGGTAACAAAACACAGCCCCACGCAGCAGCCTGATTCACTTCCCCTTCTTTGGAACGACAGTGTGCACTTTAGCGTACTGGGAGAGCGCACACAAAGAATCCCTCAACGTCACAACTTTTCTGGATTAAAAAGCTTTGAGAAGTGCAGCGCCCGGTCAACTCTTCTCCTCCGCCGTCTCTGATCACCTCACACAGAGTCCGACTGAAGGAGACAGATATGGAGCAGGAGACACGGCCTCCAAAAACACGATCCAGCAGAACACAACAGAGACGGACAGGAGTGCACCGAACAGGGACACATCAGGTTGTTTGCTGATCCTGGGTGTTAACGGGCTGCACTAAAGACTCATTAACAGCTGGTGACATGTTTTAAGTCCCATTAAAACGTGTCTAACCTTAACTTCAGCCTGCTTCTCCAAGAGATCCAGTAAATGCTCCTATTCCAGGCCTGACGTCTCCACCCACTGTGGAAACAAACACTGGCCGCCTGTTTGTTTACTAGTGTTTTCACTACAAGTCTCTGCTCGTACCACATTAATGCCAAAACACTGCGACCTGCCAATGAGCTGAACTGGGCGGTGATGATCTCACTTTCTCTGCTGGACAAGTTTCAGGAGATACAGTCATGACTCGATGATCCGACTCTAAACGTAAAACCTTCTTCTATGTCGGATATCAAGGCTGTCGGATTGTCCAGACGGAGGTCCAGATACGAGGAGGGCTTGATGCTGGAAGGCTCATTAGTTGTTCATTATTGTTCATAGTTGTTATAATAACTAGTGTATTGTTAGAACACGACGCATCGCTGGATTTCAGCCTAACTGACCGGTGTGATTGGGACACTTCCACCCCGGGGCAGCGCTCTGACGGGGTGGAAGTGTCCAGAACACACAGGCAGTACTTGGCTGCTGATGCTAGTTTAGTTAGCGCTCACACTTCTGTTTCCTCCATCGGTGGCGGCGGGGGAGTGGCAGATACGCTCCACCGTTACCATCCATGTTTACTTCCATAAACACTGAGCACGCTCGCTGCGTGTGACGTCGTCGTGTCCTCTTCTGCGCATGCGGGACACTTTTGGCTCGTATGAAGTTCACACAGCAGATCACATACAAGTCGCATTGAAGTGGAAACGTGAAGGAAGTCACAAAGAAATCCTCATTGAGCATCAAGTCCTGCAGTGTGAACGTAGCCAATCTGTGGGATTGTTCAGTCAGATAATACGCCGTCATCCTGATTGGTGACATTAAATGTCATGTCGGAGTCACAATCCAAGGCTGTCGCTATGTTAAGGCTGTTTTTATGGCTTCTGTTGGTTTTTCCTACAAACCTGTCGGACAGCAGGTTCTGGATTGTTAAGGGTCCGATTATGGAGTCACGGCTGTACTCTGAAGCCACAATGACGAATACACACTAAAACTCTGCAACTTTCATTCAAACTCTGAACTCGAGCAGGTCGGACCTCGGTGCGGTCCGTGCTCTCCGTTAGGATGCTGCGACCCACCAGCCTTTGTCTGACTCTCCGGGCTTCATCGTGGACTCCACAGACCTCCCTGTTGGAGGGTTTGTTCCAGGCTCAGACAGGACGACCCACTTTCTGGCAGGAAGAGGCGCTCTATCGGGGGGAGCGGAGTCGGGACGGCCCCTGCTGCGCCGGGCCAAAGTGAGGCCTGATGAGAGCTGACAGGGCAGCGACGAGGCCTTCAACCATGTTTGGCTCCTTCTAAACGGTCTTTCCCTCCCATCACAAGCAGGAGCTCAACGGTCAGAGGACTATCTTCCTCCTCAGCCGAGCTGTGTTTGTGGTGGTTTACTCACATGGCAGCTGTTCTGGGAGAAGAATCGGCCTCATGGAGACACCTGTAATCCTCAGCACAGGCACAGATCAGACGCAGCGTCCGCACTGGAAAACAGCAGCAGAGTTAGTGAGCTTCATGCTATCACACTGATGCTGTTATTTATCATGATCACTGTCCTCAGGAAACAACTAACGGTGTGTTAGAGCAGGTCCATGGTGTGGACAACCAGCCAGCACAGAGAGAAGAGCACCACCTACAGGAGCACACCACAAACACTCCCTGGACCATCATGTGTAGGACAAAGCTTTAAAGTTTAGCTGGGAGAATATAAAATATGAGAACAACTGAACTGCACAGAAGAGTGAACTGTTTCAGGTATCCACCACTTCTATAGTTAGAAACTAACTCTGTAACACTTGAATTCTTTCTGAGGCTGTTTGGAGGAATTGAATGTATCCTCCAGGGGGAAGAAGGACGTGGTCCTCTTCAGAGCAGGCTGGATTAAGTCTGTAGAGAAGCTCTGTGTGTGCAGAGAACAGTAACAGCAGCACCACGGGGCTCACCGATACACTCCAGCTTCCTCTGTGGACAGCAGTCCTGCACCAGAAGCCTCAGCTCCTGAACCGCAGACTCATAGGGGTAGGAACCTTGCAGGGCTCCAGGGTCCGGGGGGAACAGTTTGGAGGGCACGCCGACGTCTCCGGGCGAAGCGTCGCGGTACAGCTTCATACTGGTCTCGAAGGCCTGCTCTCTCTCTCTGTGGACCTTCCTGAGACGAGAAGACAAGCGTCAGACTGAGAACACACTCAGGAAACACGTTCAGCACCTGAAGCTACGGTCCATGGACGTTCCTCTGGTTCCTAGTAAACTTCTGACTGTGACTGCTTTAGATCAGTTTGTCAATGAGAC